GTTCTCTCCTGTACAGGTGTGATACCACACACGCTACACAAAAGCCTGGGAACATTACAATTGAGTAGAAATACATACATCACACTACAGAAGGCCACTATATTGAATACATGCCATATTGTTAGGAAATTCCTTAATACAGACGCTGACACACACATTTAATTTTAGTTTCGTTTTGGTTGCTATGCCTTGACTCTGGTCCGGCATAGTACACAGCCACCGGTGTGTACCGAGTATAACCCACTAAACACAACAATAATAATAATAATAAATGAATACAAATCTTTTATATAACCATTAATTATGGTTTAACATAAAAATATTGATCCTTTCTCACTTGATATCAAACACAGGTTGAACTTGAACCTTGTTAACACGAATAGTCAATTAATGAAAAAAATTATTTGTGCTGAAAGTAATTTGTATTATAAACAACATCATTATATGCATAAAAAATTATACTAAAAATTAGAAAATTCATATATTTTGGCTTTGCTGGCTAGATATGTTGGCTAGAACCACAGTGCTGCTACTGTGGTTCTAGCCAACATATCTAAACATTCAAACAATAAAATGTCTTCATATCTTCAGATCAATGTGCTGCTCCTGCTCAGTGCTGATACAGTGGAGAAGATAGGAACAATATTTGTTAGAATTTATCGACATTATTAGCCAAAAGACTCCATAAATATTTAACTACTATTTGTTTCTTTACTTTTATTTTTCTCATTTCTTTTTCTATCAGTTTGAGTCTGCTAGTAAAAAAGGATAAGAAAGGATTAAACTTACTTGCACAAGCTGCTGCAAGTTTTTTCAATTCTTTAATTTTTGATAACTTATCTTTTATTATCCTATATTTCATTGCCATTTCTGCTTTTTTAACTTGCTTAACTTCCACTTTGCACAAAATTTATAATTTTTCCCACATAAACAAATCTCTGAACTTTACAATGCATTTTGTACAATAACTAAAGTAATCTTTGTGATGAATGTTTAAGTTACATACAGTACTTTCTAGGGCTCCTCTACATAATTTTTCAATATCTACTGTATTAACACTTATTTGTATCTGTGGATAATTATTTATAAATTATGAATTACTGTCTGTTAAGTCATATGTAACCTAGTGTTTATGTGGAAAGATTTTCTCATACCCCATATAATCGAAAATGCTATGAAAAATAAAATTATCTCTAACAAATATGTTTTATATAACATCTGTAATCANAACTTAAGTTTATATTGCAGGAGTACATAGAATCTTATCAACTTGATGCCAGTTTTATTATTACCAGTGTTTAGCCAATGTTATTAAATGTCATTTGGTTACATTGGTCATTAATTTGTCTTTCTGTATCTTTGAGAATCTTTAGAAGTTGCTATAATAATTTTAAGATAACATCTGAATGAATAAAAAAAAAAGAATAATTTTGTATATGTGTTTAAAATCAATCTTATTTTTACTATAATAGTTATATGAGATTAGATTCTTTGAATTAAAAATGCTTTTATCAAAGGAAATCTGCAATGAAGTAGACAGTCATCAAGAAGATCTGAATTGGCTGGTGAAGGAATTTAATATTTTATCATCTAAATTATCTAAAACTGAAACCAAAGAAGAAAAACAAAGACTAGATGCATTAACTGCTCGCTATAAAACACTTATTCCTGAAATTGAAGCAACAGTGGTAGTTACGGAGACTGTTTATAAATGTTTCATCTATCGTGAAGAAGTGCAAGAAGTAACTAAATGGCTACATCAAATACAAGAAGCAACAGATAGCATTGAAAAAGTTCAATATGATAACAGGAAGAATTTACAAGATGCTATTGAACAACAGAAGGTAAGAGTACTGAATTTTTTATATTATGATACAATTATTTATAATATTGCCAGTAATTTTAAATTGTAATTTCTGTGTCTGTAATAACTAATTGAAATTTTAGTTTCAACTTTTTGTTATTTTTTTTAGTTTTTCCATATCCTAATAGTTTAAATAGTTAATCAAAGATTTATCTAATAATTTATTAGCTTTCTAATGTAAATTTATGTGATACTGTAAGCACTTGAATAGACCCACTGTGTGTCTATTGTTTAAAATCCATTTGGGGTATGGGCTTATTTTTTAAAATTACATTTTGCATGTGTTGGTGCACATAGACACAGATGTCATTAAATGAAAACTAAACAATAATTCTAAAAATGTAACACAAACAACAAGAAATATGACACAATAATTTACGTGGTTATAATTTTGAATAGGTTGTTTATACTGTAGTAATCTGTAACCAGGGTTGGGCTGTCGAGAGAGGAAGCTGGGAATTTTTCCTTGAATCTGGAGAAAATTTAAAGAAGTCTAGTTTTATTTTTAAACTAATTTTAACTAAAGAAAAATAAAATTGTTTAAAACTACTTTTTATTAATAAAAAAACATTCTGTGTGTTTCATTTGTTCAGAAAAAGGGTCCACTAAGGTGCTAAAGGATACATTAGGTTAGCCACAATAGTGTTCTTTATAAATAAAAAGCAATCATAGTGATTTTATTTTCTATTTGCAAAAATAATATTAATTTTATAGGGGTAGGAATTACTATGGACCTTTAAGTTTTCTCCTGGCCTTTCGAAACAATCCCCAGGTTCTGTCTGTATCTTAGAAATTGCAGTTTAATTGTGGTGTATTCGAGCCTGTAGTAAAATTTTAACCTGTGGATCAAATCGGGCACATATGGTATCAAGTTGATGATGATAAATTCTAATACTGAAAAGAAAATATGAAGCATTTTAATATGCAATTAATTACTGAAAATTAAAAGTGTTTAATTTTATTGTAAAATATTTCTCTATTAAAGACTTTATTTCTAGCAAAAGACTTTATTTGATGTATTTAATAAAGAATAAAAATATTTTAATTCATAATTTTATAAATTTTCTGAACAGATTCTCCTAAAACAATTGACTGATCACCAGTCAAATGTACAAGCCAGTGTACAGAAAGGAAGAGACTTACAAAAAGAACCAAATGCTCCTAAATTTATTCACTCTGATGTTAGTCAACTTGAAAGTACTTGGAGTGAAGTATTTAGTAAAACAGCAGGAAAACTGGATATGCTTCAAGTAAGTTTTACACATGCATATTTCTAAGCAACATTTAAATCTTTAAATAATAACTTACAGTAGATTCATTTACATTATCAGATGTAGAACTAATAAGTAAATACTTTAACTAATTTTGTTATATCAAAGTTAAACCTTTAAAGAAAGACAGCCTGAGAACAAAAGTGTAACTTGAAAAGCCTGGTTGAATTTGTACAGATATAAACATCTTAAGCTTGATAGTTATATATTAAAGTTAAACAATTGCCTGATTATATTGGGTTATGTTACTACTACTATTATTAATTAAATGCTAAGTAATTTGGAATTAGAGGCAGGTGTTAGGTGCTATCTCTTACTAAATTTAATAATTATAATTTAAATTAATATTTTAATTATAATTATTCTGGAGACAATGATTGGATGAAGGTCTTGGTCACGTAACTGGCAACATGACCACATGGTAGCTGGTGTTACAGGTTCAAGTCCTGCTTTGAGCCAATTCTTTTCTTCCAGAACTTTCTAAATTAATTATTAAAATATTAATGTAATTATAATTAAGCACCATCTCTTGCTAAATTTTATAATATTTGCTTCTAGTGTCAAATTACTTAGTGTTTAATTAATAATAGTAGTAGTAATATATCTCAATATAATAAGGCAGTCGTTTGGCTTTAATGGTTTATATTTGGAAATATTGTTTTCATTGTAATGTGAAACATACAGATAAATATATAAACATAATTTGATGATGTATTTGTAAAACAAATGTATACCAGTTGATAGATCAAGAACTTTGTTTGCTCATTTGCTCAAAAAAGTTTGTTTGCTCACAATGTCACCCTGCTAAACATTATGCAAAACACTTGAGCTTTGAATATTTGTGCACTGCAGACTCTAAGGATAACATTTGAAACTTCTCATCTGCAGTGTTAATTATACTTTTTGCATCACTGTATTTGTAGCATATTAAATTTACAACAGATTAAAATTAAATATGTATATTCTGATGTTTGTATTATTATATTTTTAGAATATTGAAAAATTATGGGAGCAGTATGAAGAAAGTAAATCAGAAATATTTAAAATTCTTCGTTTGGCTGAAGAAACTTTACAAGATACAGCAACTAAACCTTCTTCATCTACATTAGAAAAAAGTTTGGAAGTGAATCAGGTATGTTAAACACTGATGTAATTAATTTTAAGATATTATTTGTTTTTAATAAATTGTTATTACAGGATGTAATCAATCGACTGAAATATGACAGTGAAAATGTTTTACAAAGACTTTGCAAATTAAAAGACGATATCATCAAACAGTGTCCTAATAGTCGCCTTCGATTAGAAAAGGAAACAAGAGAGATAGAGAGTGAAGTAAGAAAAATTCTTAAAACGATTTCAGAACGTCTCGGATATTTAGAGCAAACAACAAGGAGATGGACAAATTTTAATGCTCGCATAGAAGAATTTATGCATTGGTTAGCTAAGGCACAAGAAATATTGAAAAAGATTGTAGCAGATGATATTTCTCCTAAAGAAAAAATTAAACTTTCAGAAGTTAGTACTTTTTTTATTATTATTATTTGAAGGGTTTAGGTGTAAAAGGTGATAACCCACATAAACTTGATTTTGAGGAAATTGCAAATAAAGATTTCTTTACTGTTTGTGCTTTAAATGGTAAAGTTTATACAACTTTACCATTTACAGCACAAACAGTAAAGAAATGTTTATTTGCAATTTTGACTGACTTTACCTTTCCTCTATGAGCATAAATTTACACTTCTGATCATTTCACACAGATGTTAAGTAGAGCAGTCTATCAGCAAGGATAACTTGAAAAGTGCTTTTATGGGTTATCACCTTTTACACCCAAATCCTTCATTTAAAATTATTTTTATATTTTAATAAATTTTTTACATGATTTTAGGATTAAATTTAAATGTATTAAATATGTTTTTGTACTTTTATATTTTTATTAGAATTTATTCATGGAAATAAAGCAGAAGAAACAAACATTATTAACTTTAGAACATGAAAGTCATGAGCTTGCTGTTGATCAGCCAAATAGTTCCACAATAGAGGAAATGTACTCAAAGTTAGTTACATTACGTCAACAATTATTAAATCTGGAAGACACAACTAATGTTCATAAACAGTTATTACATGAGAAATTAAAAACAATGGAACAAATAAAAGATTTTATTAATCAGGGAAGAGATGAAGTACAAAGAGCTGAGTCATATATAAAAGGAGGATTCCCCAAGTTAAACACTATACAAGAAGCTAAAGAAAAAAGGATAGAAATACAGGTAAATTATTTTTATTCAGTTGTTCAAGTTACTTTACATATATTTTGCTAGTACGTCTGTTCTGTTGTTTTAAATTTCCACAGTAACTTCTATTTTGATATATTCTCGTAATCTATATATATATAAAAATGGACGTGTGTGTCCCTATATTTCACTTTTCAGCCAAAACTACACATCGCACATGAATGGTGTTTGTATGTAGTAGTAGCCCCAAGTCTCCATTCGTGCACTATGGTGGTTCCGTCTCGATNTTTAAAACTGCATGTGTGGTACCATCTGTTATGATATTCCAAAAATTTTTTTATATTTTTAATTATTATAAAATGGCAAAAAGCTTAATTTTGAGGGTAGGGATGGATTTTATGAAAAATTGTAAATGTTAATAATGAGTAAAATCGTCAAGTCTGACCCTACTTGAGATATGACATGACCTCTTTATCTCCCCACCCTTTGACCTTTAATCACCAAAATTTAATAGCATCGATTCCCTTAATACATAAACCTCTCTGCAAGATTTCAGAAATTTTTGACAAAAAACACTGAGAGGACGAACACACACGCACATACTAACACTCATAAATACAGAGAAAACCTCTGCATTTTTTTGCATTTCTCAATATTCCAAGGTTCTTTGAGTTAAAAAATGTAAAAATTTTGGGAGGCTATTTCTTGACCAATTGCCATATTTTCCCTCTATTATATATAACAGAGCCAGGAAAGTAAAAATTGTTGTTTCTTTCAAAATCATTCACTTTTAAGTAAATAAATACATTTTGCTTAAATTATGTATTATTTAAATAATATTAATAAACCCCTTTTTAAAATTATTGTTAAAATTTAGATTCAATGCCATGATAGAATGGATGGATGAAGTTGATAAAAATATATCAGCAATGATGAAAGATGTCTCAACTCTTTCTGAATTTGAAATGCTAAAAATAAAGTTTGAGGTATGCTCTTTTTTTATTATTGTAATTATTTCTGATAATCAATCTTGGAAATTATTTATTATGCTTTATGCTAAATTTATATACATGCCTTGTTATTTTGTTGCTGAAGACTTTGCTAACTAATCATAAACTGCATGAATTAAATAAATTGCAACATTTCGATATACAATATTTTATTATGACAAATATTATTTTTATTTATAATATTATGCAATGCTTTTTTTATTTCCTGATTCTAAATGCTTTTTAATAAATCTGAAATTATAATGCTGATTTTATTTTAAGTGATTTAATTAAATATTTATTTAGCTTTTCTGCAGCTTCCCCTTCAGTGATTTCTGGTGACTTTTATTTTCTTTCATTATTTTTTTATTTTTATTTTGCTGTGAATGCTTAAGTGTTAATTTCAATTATATTTTCTGTTCAGATTTGCAAATTTTTATTTTATTTTAAAATTGGTCTAATTTTAATTTACTTAACGGAAGACAGTTAATTTTCAATGTGTCTGGTTTATTAANTGTTAAAAAATTAAATTTAATTAAAAATGATTTCTGATCCAGAAATTAAAATTTATCTTTTCTTATTTTTTCAGAGATTTGCTCAGAGATGTCATTCTAAAATATCAGAATTATTAGAAAAAGAAAGAGATATGGAAAAAGAGCATACCGATAGTTCTATGTTCAGTGATTTATGCGACATTCAAGATCAATGGCAACAATTGCTCAATTCATCACAGAACTGGAATGAACAACTTGGAAAAATAATTGACCAGTGGGAATACATTGCATTTGAATTAAATGAGATAAATAAATGGACATCAAACACTGAACAGTTCATAAAGAATCAATGTGCTGCTCCCGTTCATAGTGTTGATACAATGGAGAAGATAAAGGAACAATATAAAGTAAGTAATTTAACAATAACTAATTGAAATTTATTTAAGTTATAAATATAGTTAAAGAATTAAAATTTAAATAGTTATCGCTTTTTCATGTAACGTTATGTGAATGTTAGTTTGTTAGTTAGTTGTTGTTATAGAATGTTCATTAATTTAATATAAAAAATATTCACAAACCAGAAGAAACAATAAAATGCTTTCCTTCCAAATTGCCATTCTTCAATAACCTCAGGAACACAACAGTCTCTATGGGCAGAGTTGACCTTTAATTTGAGGCTACTCATCTGCCTCATTATGTAAAAATGTTAAAAAAAATTTTGCCATGACAGCACAATCACAATAAAAGTGTTTTAAAAAAGTAGTTCAATTAATACATTCATTAATGGATGTAGAAAGTTGTTTTATTGTTTCTTCTGATTTATGAATATTTTTTATATTTATTATTGTCCTTGACCATTTCATTTATTAATTATTGTTATTTAATATTTTTGTCATAATAATACAGTGAACTCTTATATAATGTGTTTCCCTAAACATGAATTCATGTCACATAATGGAAAAATTGCAGTAGTACTCATACAAAATTGTAATTTTGTTGTTAAGAGGTATACATTTTTTTCTTCAACTTCTAGGCCTAGGTTTAAACTTGCATAAAATCATCTTACAATGCATGTCTTGATAACACAATTTTTTAATATGTGAAACATATCCCCCACATTGTATTGGACTCTGCTGTATGCATCAGTATGTTAATAAAAAGAAATAATTTTTAAAATAAATAATTATTAATAACATAGAAAACAAGATAATTCCATCTTAGATATGTTTATTAAATAAGGTATGAAATGATAATGACATTGATATGTACAGTACAGATCGAACTTCATTGAAGTAATTAATCTGTGACCTGATAGATTTTTCATTTGTAAAAGTTTAAGGATATATTTAATTATAAGGTCGTGCTAACAAATGTTTTGTAATTTGTAATAATTATATATTGTAGATTGATTAAAATTGAAAGAGTTAAAATTTTTACATATACACTTTGTTGCAAAAAGTCAATACACCTTAAAGCCAGTGGTAATCAAATTCGGTACATTGAATGGTGGTGAAAAAATAATAATAATATCATACCACAAGAATACATCATCGAAAAACAGTTTAATCACAAATGTAAACCAAAAATTGGTAAACCTAGTCAGGCAATTAATGCAAACTGATCAATGTTTAAGATGACTTTACAACTTATATTAATATTTAACAATTATGAAGAAACTTTTACAATGTTATATTCTTGTGCTGTAATGTTGTAATGAATTTTTTCACTATCATTAAACATGCAGAATATGATTACTATTCCATGCTGATTTTACAATGTATCAGTTTTCTTGCAAAAGAGTGTATGCAATATTCCTTTAATATCCCTGTATGTAATTTTTATTAGGATAGATATGTTCTTATCTTTTGTTTTTTTATTTTAAATTGTTTTTGAATTTTAATTTTTTTGATGATTTACTTTGTAAAATATTTTATTATCAACAATATAATAATGTATATTTTTTAAACTAATGCTTTAATCTGATTATGAGACATAAAATTCAACCTTAACCATCAAATCCATTTTATTAAATTAAATGTTTTCAGGCATCTCTGCAGCCATTATCAGGATATCTCATAATGGAATAGTAAGAACATAATATGAGCCATTTTTTCATATTATATATATTCTAATATTTACTTTGATATTTTAATATTGTAATTCAGTTTATATGTAATGTTCTATTATTCCATTATGAGATATCCTGATGATGGCTGCAGAGATGGTCGAAAATGTTTAATTTAAAAAAATGGATTTATTGGTTAAGGTTGAATTTTTGTCTCATAATATATTAATGTTTGAAAAATGCTTTAAAAAATAAAATTTTAATTTCAAAATGTAGATATACAGTATTTGTATTATTTGACATTATATTGTATTTTTGAATCAAACAAATAATGTTCACCTTTATGATGAAATTATCTCTAAAGATGTTCACATTTTTTTAAATAAAAATGGATTTTGCACATAAGATTATAGCTTTTTAAAGATTTATAGATTATATTCATATGGGAGTCAGATAATTGCATTACAACAGAACCTCAATTTAATGAACTAGTTTGAGCAAAGGGACATCTATTAAAGTTATATAATCTGTTATATAATAAAGTAGGTTTTCCAAATGTATGTATTAAAAAATCAACAAATTAGTTTATCTGTTTTTACTTACATAGACACATTTGTGAAATTAAAATTAAGAGCACTTTAATTTCACAGAAAAGTTTTCTATATGTATTATTGCTTATGTACTCACTGTAGTTCTGTGACTGTAATAAACAAATGTATGATCTAAATCAAATAAATAAACATTTTTTTGAAAATACACTTTATAAGCAGTGAGTCTTGGATTTGAAGAAAAAAAAAACCTGTTAATTTGATTACATACAAAAAGCATTTTAAAATTAACAGGGTGTTAATTTTCTTTTATGACATATGAACCAGAAATTTTGTCTGTTAAATTCGAAATCTGTTAATGTGAGGATTTACTATAATTACTGTATGAAATTAATGTCATTATTATTATTAAAAATAAAAATAAAGAGAACACTAAAACATTTTCAAATTCAAAAATTTTTTATAAATTAGTGTATATTTGTAAAATTTATGTTAATTACATAAATATTATTGTTTATTCATTTAGAAAATTACATCAGAAACATCAGAAAAGCAGTTAAAATTAGGAGAACTTCTAAAAGACTGTGATGCAATTGCAGCAAATCTCTCTCAGAAAGCAGCATCAGAACTTTATAATCAAATAAGTGACCTGAGAAAACGTTTGAATGAAATTAATGATAATCTTCGACAACATTTGATGAAATTATCATCTGCTATTAATCAGAGAGAAGAACTCATTAAAAAAATAAACAATTTTGATAATTGGATTAAAGATTTACAGCAAAACTCAAATAATTTGAATGATATTTTTGTTGATCAAATAGAAACAGTGTTGAAAAAACTAGAGGTATGTTTACAATTAATTTTTTTTAAAAAAAAAAGATCAAAAATTTTATTTAAAATAAAATGCACAAAGTTTTATTTAATACATTTTAGTTTAATATTAAAAGAAAAATTAAATCAAAATCTCATGTATTTAAAAATTTTCTTTTTTTATTCTTACAATTACATAGTTTTATTTTATTTCAAAGAGTAAAATAAAAAGATAGATGAAACTAATTGAGTTAAACAATGGTTAATTCAGTATTTAATTTAATTTTTAATTAATTAAATTAAATTTTAATTTTAATTAATAATAAAAGTAAAATAAAAATATACAAAACTATAGGATTTTTATGTGATTTTTTAAAATAATTATTTAAGTGTGATTAACTTAACAGATTTTGTGATGTTAAATATTTAGGAAATTTCATAATGAATTTCAAATTTCTTATTATTAAAACCTATATAAATCATTATTTCTTATTATTTTTATTTATTGTATAATATTTATTCCTTAGAATCTGAAAACTGAAAGTTTGTCCAAAAAATCAGAATTCAATATTATTTATAATGAAATGAAGAAAATTAATGAAACTTGCAGTCCTCAGGATTCTCAAATACTTACTTCTTCATATTCACAAATATCAGAGTCTTATCAAGCTATAGAAAATCAATTAGACTTCCAGCAGAAATTATTTCAGAAACTTCAAGAATTTCAGTTTTGGTATAGAGATATCGCAGAACAGTTGAAATTTATTTTACAGAAACTGGAAGGCAGACCATCACCATCAGAACTCAAAACAATCCAATCAGAAGTAGAAACTCTACAGAAGCAAATCAATCAAAAAACACCACAAGCACGCGAAATTGAAGAAATGATGAGGAGATGTAATCTAACATTGAGAGATAGAATATCGTCTTTACCTATTTCACTGATCGGACAGCTTAAAGATGCAGAAGGATTGCTTAAAAGAGCAACACTAACAATTCAGAAATACGAAGAAGAAATGGAACAAATTGGTAATCAATGGACAGAATTTAATCAAATGTTAGAATCAATTAGTAAATGGATTCAGTTGTTAGAAACTAGATTACATGAAATGTTTCCAAGAAGTCAGACTCTAGAGGGTTTGACTGAAATGCTGGAAATGCTTTCAGTAAGTATTTTGATTTGGTTTTAGTTTTTTAAAAAATTGTTAAACTTTTAAAAAAATTTATAATGAGTCCATGACATTCTGATTTAGCATATTAAATCAGAATTTTAAATTAATTTGAATACATTTTGAAGCAAAAATGATATGAAATAATACATAATATATTAAAAATTATATCTGAAGATGATTTATTTTTTGAATTGTTACTTGTGAAAATAATGTGTCTTGCATTCTCTAATTAATGAAATCAATTAACATTTATAAACATGATTCAATAATTTTTAAAATACAGTCAAACTTCTAAACATCACTGATGGAAACATAAAAAAACAGCCATAGTTTGGAGATTATTGGGCTGCAATTTTTAAAAATTTAGACCTATAAATTTACACTGCTGTTCATCTGTCTGTTCTTTCTTAATCTTGAGAATGGAATTAGATAGATAAAAGTCAAGACCAGATATAGAAAGCTTAGGAGCAGGAACACTGATTAACTGTATACAAACTTCCAATTTGCACTGGAAATCATGTTTCAATTCAAAAATTTTTCCCTGAATGGAATTAGATAGATGACCTGCATGACTCTAATGTTAACAGGAAAAATATGATGTACAGGGGCAAGACACTACTAAAATTGAGAACAATGTGATGAAAAATTGCAGCTTGACTTGTTTTGTATGCATTTCAAAAAGAAATGTTATTGAGAATATAGCTGCCATTTAGAGATTGCTATTGTTGGAAGGTGGCTGTTATTTGAGGTTTGACTGTATTTATTTAAACAGTGATAAAGATATATTATTTTTAAATCATTATAAAATTCCAAAATACAGTAGAGCGTCGTTTATCCGAAAGTCAATTATCTGAAACGTCAATTATCCAAAAGAATTCCAGTTGGCAAATTTAAATTTTTGCAGTGCTGTGGCGCTGCAATATTTGGCTATGTCTTGGGCTTCTCAAATATTTTACGTTTTTGATACAAAATTAACTTCTGAAGTATAATTTTTTATTGTTTTTATATTTTTCAATACATTTATTTTGTTTGTACAAAATAAAAAAATAATTTTCAATGATACAATAGTCTTCGTTAGGCTTAACATCGACAAAAATTCAATGCGAAGCGACATGCAACAGAGAAAAATTTCAATGTGGGATAGGTTAATATATTTTTTCGTACATAATCGGTTATCTGAATATCAATTTTCTGAACAACTCCAGTCCCCAACTGATTCGGATAAATGACGTTCTGCTGTAATTAATAATATAATGTGTTATAAATGTATAAAAATATTAAGCTAGTTATATGATAAAGAGAAAAAATATGTAAAGAATATTTAACATTTTATTTTATCAGTTTTAGTATGTATTTATTAGTTTTTAAGTGAGGATTGCTGTTTAAGAAAAGATGTTTGTGATCTTAAACTATATATTATTTCCTTAAATAAACTATATTCAACTAAACTTAAACTTAATAATAATAATTTAGAATAAGATAATGTTGTTATTACTTTATATATTTACAATGCCATATATTTTGTAACTATAAATGTTCTTCATAAACAAGAATTCCTATTAAAAAATAAGAGCTATGCCTAAAGCTATATTTAAATACACAGTTTGACAAAAGTAACTGTACAGACACCAACTTATATTTTACTATACTATTTATGTTGACAATAATATAATTCAAGTTATAGCTTTTATCAATACCAGTTCATTAATTAAATTATATAATTGTATATTATTTTTTTTTAAATAAAATATTTATTGAAATTTCATAAAGTTAAAATTATTCAAATTATTATTAGGTAATGCAAGATGAGATTGCCCAACAACAAAACAAACAATTGAAATTGCATCAATTAGGGCGTTGGCTAATCGAATCAGATTCTTCTGCATTTTCAACCATACAAACTCAATTAACAACACTTGATAAAGATTGGGAGAGAGTGACATCTGCATTAAAACATAAAGAAAAGCTTCTTGCAAGCATCATTTCATTGTGGAAAGAATGTGCCAGTCTAAAACAACAACTTAGATCAGTTCTTCAGCAATTGCAAGATTCACTACAGGTTCCAAAACAGCCTCCTTGTGATATACTACAAGTCTCTAATCTCTTAGATAAAATAAAGGTATGTGTATATCATTAAATCCTAAGATTTTTCTTAATCAAATATATGTTTGGAAAATTATGGCAAGATCAAAAATTAATTCAAATAAATTATAAGTTAATTTTTAATTTTTATCTTATAACCTAAATTATAAGTGTTTTATCAACTTTTAGAATTTTTTGATGGTTTCTTGTTTAGCAATATTTGATGGTTTTATGTAAAGAACAAAAAATACAAAATTATTTTTTACTTTAGTAAATTTTTTGCATGTAATTAAAGAATAAATGTAAATAAACAGTTATTCATCTTTATTTCAGGACTTATTTTATTAAAATTTTCTTATAGAAATAGTAAATCTATAATACTTAAAATGAAATGTGATGTAATTTAGTTTATTTTAAATGTTACAAAAAATGAAATGTTAAAAAAATAATATAAGAGTATATTTTAGATTTTTTAATACAAATGCAAGCACAAAGTTGAAAGACAACTCAACTTTACTCTATTATTTACTGTTCTTTAGATGTAAAAAATAATAATAAACAGATTTGATATATACTGTATTTTGACGTGTATAAGTCACACTTTTTTTACTACTTTTTGGGGCTCAAAATCATGATGCGTCTTATATTCGACAGGTAACCATTTTTACAGTGAAATTATCTACAGTAGTGGTCCACTCTAGGGACCAACCTGTGCAGTGGTCTGTTAAGCAGATGGTCCCTCAACCGAATGGCTAGAGTACCTAGATCATTAGAGTAGTGATACACGAGTCATCGCCGTCATATTCTGTCGACTGTCATCACGTGACCTCTGGTTTACATTAAGAAATGACGATTATTTCAGTTTAATAAAGGTATCAATTCATCCATCCGTCATATTCTTAAATAAAAAAACGAATAAAATGCATCTTTAGACAATCCCATTAAAAAAGATTTTTTCAAAATTTTTTGTCTCAAAATAGGGGTGTGTCTTGTACTTGACAGCGACTTATACTCGTCAAAATATGGTACATTTAATGAAAAATGCATATTATGATTTATAATTTTCATGTTTATAAAAATTGGTGAAAAAATGCTTGAAAAATAAGGAAAATATATATTCGTATGGTTGTACAGGATCTGTGAAGAAATTAAATTTTTATTTGTATTTAGTCTTTAATTTTTCTTAAAAAAGGAATATTTCGTTATTTTTTCATAGAACATAGTTATTGTAATTTTTCCATATCACATAGTTTCTCAAAAAATAAATTATTGTCTTTCACTCAAGACAAATTATGCTTTGAACAGTTCCTAAAAGCTTACAGCAACTTGAATATAAGTGTCAAATAAAATATTGAAAGCTAGAAAGCTATTTTTTTATTCTCATTTTGATGTGATCTAATATATATGAAACTTTTTAAATTAAAATATAGAACATTTTATTCTAATTTTTCAAAACTTTTTTTCTTTTTAATGATTATTTTGTTAATTGTTTCATATAAAAGTACAAAGTAACAAATCCCAAAATATCATGACATAAATATTATTGGTTTTTTTTTCCTTATAAAGTTTTGAAAATAACCAAAAAATCCCAGTTTTCAAGGGCATTTACAAGAGCTTACCCCATCTGGAAAGTGTTAATAAAAATTTTTTTGTTTGTTTTTTTTCTTCTGATTTTGTATTATATTGGTTAAAAAAAGTTAAAAAACAAAACTTTTATCAGATTCTTATGGTAAGTGCACTCTAACCTTTACAACTCTAACCTGATTGATTACTTATGTTTTAACACACGACTCTTCTTCGATATCTCCGACAGACATTACGCTCAATTTTCTACCAACTTACTGCACTTACCTCCATTACTATGGCAACGCTCCTGCTCCTCCGTCAAGACTTTATAAGTTTAAGTGATTGTTGTTTTTACATAAACATAAGAATCTGATAAAAGTTTTGTTTTTTAACTATTAATAATATACACACAGTAGATTTTTCAGGACTGATAGCATAATATTCTAATATTACATTATTTCAAGAAGTTATTTAGAAAAATATCTCTAATGATGCTATGCATTTTTTTCTACAGTGAACTGTGTTTGTTACTGTTAATATATTCTCCATGTTCTTATTTGATATTTCTCACATAAGTCAAACAATTTTCACTCATAAAGAAATTAGCATTAGCTGATTAATCCTAATTTTATCCAATTCACAGGTTTTGTTTTTATTATTATTGTTTAATTTTATTTAATTAAAACTAAAAATAACAATAAGCAACTGGTAATGTGTTGTGTTCTTGCTATCATGTGCATATCAAGTAATAAAATGAACAATTTCAATTCTCACAATTAGTTACAGAATCATGCAGCTGGGCCTGGCCTACATTAGTTGAAAGTGATTTCACCACACATGAATTTTGTGCAATTAATTTCCATTTGGCTATATTGCAGATTCTAAGTGATGCATCATATAACCAGTACTCTATACACTTGCCCCTGATACTTTGTAAATTTCTGTGCACAACTAATGGTACATTCTTTTGAAAAACCTTGTATATAATAGACAACTATCCAATATATTTGTATTGCAAAGATTGGATAGATGTAGATATAACTGGAAATGCATCCACATTGTAAGCAGGAGTTGCTGGTTTGAGTCCTGTTCTAAGCAGATTCTTTTCTTCCATAATATTCTAAATTAAAAATTATTTTAATTTAATTTTAATTATTAAATTTACTAAGAGATGGCAGCTTAACTGCCTACTTCTCACCAAATTGATTTGTAGATAATTAGTTATTAATCTTAATAGAGCCAGGTAGATAATCTGGCAGATTGTTTGACCATATAACCATATAATTTTAGATATAAATTGTTATCATGTAAATTATTAAAATTGATAAATTTGAATTGATCTGATTTATCATATAATGGATATAATTTTATCACACATTTATAATTTTTACACAACGGAATATATATTCAGATAATAAACAAATTACTAAAATAAATTCAGTGAATGAATTATATTGTTAATTACAAAAATAAGGTACAATTCTGAATTTATGAAATACAACACTCTTAATTTTTATAGCAATAAATTATTAGAAAATCTTGTACACAAAAAAAAATACTGATAGAAATGAAAGATGAGTTCTAATAGTTAATTTACTTACTTCCTTATATTAATTATGGGCTAGCTTCCAAAGTTTATTTTCAAAATAAACTTTCATTGAATTTAAGTGATGTGTCAGTTGACATTTGAATTAAAATGTCTATTCATTTTACAGGATATTTGGCATAGAACACAACAAGCTCTATAGAAAGATTTTATAAACTACCAAAATAGTGCATAAACTTAATTTTTTAGAAGTCATAAAAACTCTTAAAGTAAAACATTTTTGAAGATTTATTGTTTGTCTTCAGAGTGCACCTTTTTTACAAATTGATTAAACAATTTAAACTACTTCTGAACATAAATTAGTTAGTTTATTTTGCTTAAATTTATACTTAGAAACTCTTAAAAGTGTTTAGTATATTTGTAAAAAAAAACGACTCTACTGAGAATGGAGAATAGTTTCAGTTGATTTCTAAATGCTTTTTGTAATTTTTTATGATTTCAGAAAATCTAATTTGTTCAAAATTGAATTATATTTATAATCTAATGTTTCTCAATGTATGACATATGGAAAAATATATAAGAGGTGCACAGTTTTATTGATGACACAATACAATAAAATAGAATATTTGAATATAGAATTTTTGTCTTTTTTTTTATTTATGGATTTGTCAGATAATTCTAGCTTTATCCAATTCACAAGCTTTAGCCATAACATATTTGTTTCACAATTATTAATCAAAACTGTACATAAATATTTTTATTTTAGTTTAATTAGAATTTAAAATAATTTTATCTTGCTGAGTTTGCCCACTTGGTTTAGCTAAAGATAATATAATAACTAAGAATATTGTTTAAATATTTAGATATATTTCAATGTTAAAGATTCCCTTTAATAAAAAATTTTTTCTATATAATAAAACTTAACAGATGTTATATTGAAATGTCTAATATTATGAATTTAATATCAAATAAATTTTGAAATTTTTACATGATAGCAACTTGTTACAACCATTTCAAAAATTTGATATTAAAAATCATAATAGTAACTGTTTCTGAGAAATTAAATATTTTAATATTATATTGACTTACTTAAACCAAATAACCCGAGCATTTATGTTCTATTATTGCAAACATTTTCGATGCCCCTTTTGGACTCTTCCTCAGGCTGTGTGTGAGGAAATTAAGTATTTTAATATTATAATCATATGAAAATTCAAAATTAAATTATTTTAAAATGTTTAGTATTGATTATAACCTTAAATATTAATTACACAAAAATTATATATGATTGTGTATGAATATATTTGTATACACATACAAACATAAAAATAGTTTTTTAATTTTAATTACAACAAATTTCAATTAATATATTCAAAATAGATAAGCAAGCCATTAACAGAAGAAAATTTATATTTTATTTTGTGATTCCGGATTAAAAGTTATTTCTGGAACATGAATCCATCTTAAAAGTTTATAAAAATAAGACTTTAGAGAATTTATAAATATTTATAAAAGTAATTTAAAAAAAATAACATTAAATGCTGTGTTGAGTAACACCATTTTTCTTCACAAGATTGAACTTGACCTTGATGTTCTGCAGATTCTTTCCAATGTGATAGTTAAGTATAGTGTTTAAGGAACAATGATGCTAAGGATCTTGACAGCTCATCTATTATATTGTCTATTGTCTTTTAATTTATTTAATCAGATGGTATTGCACTGCTATTATATATTCAGTTGAATGAACACTTAAGCTTAAAATTATTTATATATATTATATATATATATATATATATAT